CTCCAAGCCCCAAAACATGGCAGGAGAGGGGTCCCTATGATAATTTAGAACACAGGAAATGCAGTCTGTCTCGCTTTAAGGGTTTTTCTTTTAAGAAGCGCTTTAATGTCTTACAACATGAAACTAGCTCTCCTGTAAAAAAAAATCCAGAGTTAGCTTATCTCCAGGTAGAGACCTATTCCTGTGATCTCCACACTCCATCTTATTTTATGGGCCAGGTCTGGAAGTGCAGTTTGGACATCTCAGACCCCCTCATCTGTTTTGCAGGGAGATGGTCATCACAGCCTCCGTCGTGGGCTCTGTGATCGGGGCCTCCGTCTCTGTGATTAGGCACTTTACTGCCAGTTGTGTGTTGGTGGTGACTTCTAGCAGAGCCTGTGCCCAGCAGTACTTCGTGGGCTGGCCTGATAATTGATTTCAGTTAACTTGTCTTAAACTCATTTCAGAAATGAAGATCTAGCAAAATGAAGTGACTTACAAGACTGCCACACTGACAGATTCCATCGCTTTATCTCATTCACTTGCAGTTTCTTTTGTTAAGCCTCAATCCACTTGGCCTACACATAAGAGCAGTTCCTCCACATTCCCCATCTCAAGGCACTGGGGTTGCATCATGTGATGTGTTGAGGATACAGTGTTTGTAGAACATTGTGATGGAAGTGTACTTGTGTTGGACAGTCTTAATACAGGCACACCTCATTTTACGGTGCTTTGCTTTATATGTCTTCACAGATAGTGGGGAGTTTTTCCCCACATTGAAGGTTTCTGGCAACCCCACTTCAAGCAGGTCTGTTGGAGCTGTTTTTCCAACAGTGTGCGCTCACTTTGCTAGCATTTTTTTTTTTAGCAATACTATATATTTAAAGTATATAATTGGGTTCTTGAGGGCATAATGCTATTGCACACTTTCTACTGTCATATAGCATGAACGTTTTAATAGGCACTGGGAAACCAAAACATTCGTGTGACCCACTTTACTGTGGTATTTGCGTTATTGTGATGGCCTGGAAGCAGGTCGGCAGCATCTCCGAGGGCTGCTGTGCAGAGAAAGCTGTCTCTTCACAGTTCTTCTGGGTGTCTGAAAACACATCCACCAGAAACTCCAAGTTGAAGTCATGTTCTCGCCTCTGCCCATTTCTTCTGGCTCTGCTGGCCATTTAGAAGCAGGTGGGGATAGCACAGCTGGGTGAGTTAAGAGGGTGCGACAGGAGTGCATTTGATCTATAATTCATCACCATCATGTGAGGCTTTTAGGGGATAGCTAAGAGAAATGTAGTGGAGCCTGGACAAAGTGTAAAAACTGAACACTTGGCTGCTGCTGTCATAGCCTATAAGTGTGGCCAGATGATGGATGGACCCAGGGGACAGAGAGGCGCTTGACACCTGTTGAGTGGGGGTGTAGTGGAAAGGCAGCATGGGGCATCCTGGTCCTTCCAGCCCCAGCGTTCACAGGCACTGCATGTAGACAGCCCTGGGTTTATCTGTGAGACGTTTAAAATCTCTAGCAGCACAATGGGATTCTGAATGTGGGCGGGCTTGTGGGTCGAAGGTGTTTGGCTTGTCAGTTCCCTGATTCTTAGTGAATGGTGGTTTTTTGAGGCATAGATGAGACTCACTGTCTCTTCTTCCCTTTGGCCACTGTTTTTACTTTCAGATGACTCATTTGTGGGGAGGATTTGGGGTTTTCTAAGGTTTGATGGTTGACAAGCTCAACCTGGCGCTGCGCATTCTGCATTGAGGTGGAGCAGCCAGTTTGGCGTCTCCCAGGGTGGATTTTGGGGGCTTGTCCTGAGAGATGAGCAGGTGTTCTGTGTGACTTGTGGTGGGATGGACCAAGGACCTCTTGGAAACCATTTTTCAGACTAACTAGGCCTTAGAATACCCTTCCCTGGCTCATCTGGAGTGTTAGGGGAGGCAGCGTTGGAAACAGACCTGAAGCCAGCCCTGGCGCTACTGTTGAACTTCCGCTGGCTGCAGTGTAAGGAACTAAAGTGCATTTTCCTTCCCTGGAATGATTTCCATTAGAAATAAATGTCGGCCCCGCTCTCCAGAAGATGGGCAGGGCCACTCTGTTCTGGTTCCCTGTGGACAGCTCAGGGCTGCAGGGCTGATCCAGCTCCAGTGGATCGGGGTGAGACCAGCACGCTTGTGTGACTAAGCATGTGGTTCCCAGACCCTGGGGAAAGCCCAGCGACTTCTGATCCAGCCAGAACTTTGTGGGGCTTGCATGTCAAGAGAGAGAAGGCACAGACTTACCTTTAAAGTAAGAAAACACAGAAGGGTGCCAGCAGGGGAGAACCGAGTAAACCATATCCTGATTTAGGCAGGACCAGCTCTAGAAGCACCAAGAGCAAGTTTGTCCGGTGGGTGGGGACTGTGTTCTAGTTTTAAGGAAAAAAGTGCTCTTTTTGTCCAGGTACATATTTTGTGTATTTCTCATTGCATTTAGGCCTGCCTTTTTGCTCAGAAGCTTGGGTTGACTAAGCATTTGGTCAAGTTCTCAACTTGGTATTAACGACCCCAGGCAGAGTTCCACGTGCATTTCTCAACTGGACAAGTGGAACACAAGGACCAGAGTTTTCTCTTCCCTCAGATTGTCCATAGGTGAGATGTAGTATGCGAGCAGTGGAGAATGGAAGGCTTCACTGTTTCGTTCATACTTACTGGCAAATTATTACGGTTTGTAGGAAGATCTCCTAACCCACTGCCCGATAAGTAGGAAGAGGGAAGTGGCAGGTTCACTGGAGAGCTGCAGAGAGGCCTAGTTCTCACAGCGCACCAGCACCTCTCAGGACTGGGGTAGCTACAGAGCCAGGCCAGTTCACGCAAGAATGAATATTAGTTCCATCTGGGATGTTCTGTAACAGGGACAGATAGCTTTACAGTGGCAGTTACTGAAATTTTCTAATTTAGGATTTTCAATCAAATTGCTGACAACATAGTTTTTCAGTATCTCAGTTATTAGGGTTTTAAGAGAGGCATTTTGAGGCTGTTTCAAATAACACCTCACTGGTAAATGAATACTCTTAGGTTTTCTATGTAGGCTGTAGAAACGCAGGCTGTTTATGCCATGAGGGTGTGGAGAGAATGGTTTAGGACGTGGTGAGGAGAGCAGCTCTGTGCTGGAAACTTCCAGCTGGGTGAGAGCACTTTTGGGAACCTGTCCATATTCTTAGCACAGATCATGTCTTGGCCAAAGCACTTGGAAATAACTAGTTGAAGCTGGGCCTGGTGGCATGTGCCTGTAGTCCCAGCTACTCAGGAGGCTGAGGCAGGAGGATGGCTTGAGCCCAGGAGTTCGAGGCTGTGGTGAGCTGAGTCTGCCACTACACTCCAGTCTGGGCAACATAGTGAGACCCTGTCTCTTAATAATTACTTCTCAGTGTTACCTTGACAGACACCAAGAATTCTGTATATTGGAACCCAGAATTCAGGGACAGGGCAGTAACGACAAGCTAGTCCATGAAAGTAGGGCAGACATACCTGCATGCCCTGGGCCCAGGTGTGGTTGACTGGTGATGTAATGTTCACTTTGTGAATTTTAAGGTTCTTTTCAAATTCCTTTAATCTGTAATTTTGTTATAGAAGTGGAAAGTATGGTATTTAGTTTTAGATGCCTTTTATAGTTGTATTAGTTTGGCATTAACAAGGAAAGGTTGATGGGCTTGTTCCCATCTTTCTGGAGCCTATAAATTGGGACATTTTGCATGGGTGCAAGAGCAAACAGCCTGCCTTTTTCTTATCCCAAGTTCTTGATTCCAAAAGACATATTGCATTAATTCCTGCTCAGTAGAGTGACAAAAAGGATAACTTTGCACAGACCCTAATGAGGCTGGTATTTGGCTGGTGAGTGGGAATGTATCTGGAGGTCACACTAGGTTAGTAAATACCATCCAGACTTGTCACGTGCACATCATGAATGACCATCATCAGCATGGGGATGATTGGGGCACTCCTCTTGTAGAAGGCCCCCTGTAAAAAATCATCAATGACTGTGTCCATCCAGTGACTAGCTGGGACCGTCCCAGCAAAGCCCCTTAAGGGCTCACGACCCTCCATTCCTTAGCTGTTTGGCCAGTCTCTGGTGCCTATGTGTTGGAGCTCACAGGTGGACCAAAGGCAGATCAGGTCGGCCTGAGAGCCATGCTGGTGTGGTCTTCTGAGCCTGGGCCAAGGAAAGCTGTTACCTGAGCTAGAAGGCAGCGGACACGACCTGCGTTTGGTGGCTCCTCTCCAGGCAGGCTGTGAGCCTAACTACAGATCGTTGCATTGTCCAGCAAGACTCAGTGTTGGCTGTCGGCACTGCTTGGATGTAAGCATTATTTTTTGCCTTCTCTTTTTGGGGGAAAAGAGAGTGGGGGAGAGTGTGTATAAAACACGATTGTCTTGGCAATTGGTGCCTAATTTTCCACTTACTTTTTAAAATTTACTTTTTATGGTTTTGGAGACGGTGTTGCCCTGTGGCTGAGGCTTGAGTGCAGTGGTGGAATCATGGCTCACTGCAGCCTCGACCTCTTGGGCTGAAGCCCTCCTTCCTTCGCGGTCTCTTGAGTAGCTAGGACCACAGGTGTGTGCTAGAACACCTGGCTAACGTTAAAATTGTTTGTAGAAACAGGGTCTCGCTGTGTTGCCCAGGCTTGTCTCAAACTCTTGGGATCAAGCAAGCCTCCTGCCTCAGCTTTCCAGTGTTGGAGTTACAGTTGGGAGCCACCATGTCTGGTGTAAGATACGCTTAAGTCAAGCTGAGTCAGACTCCTTTGAGGTCCGTCTGCCTCTGGTGTCATTGGTTGGTCACCAGCTGCTGTGGTCGTGCCTTTGCAGGCTGATTCTCTGGCTCTCCCCAGTGTCTGCTTCCTTCTTTAATCTCTTTGTGCCTAAGCTCAATGGCCAGTGCCTAGCTCTGCCAAAGCCTGAAAATGGCAACAAAATCTGCTGGTCTGTTGTCTGCAGTGTGGGATACACATAGTTGGTCTTGCTGAAAAAGAATTTGTCAATGATACGACAGCTGGAATAAGCACTTTATTTTTTAAAAATGACCATAGAAAAGTACCTTTAAACAGTTATAAAAGCATAATAGACTGTGTCGAAGTGGCTGTTTTCCTTAGAGAGGAGTACAGGCATCTCACCAAGAGCCAAGTGGCACTGGGCATAAGCAGGTCCTTGAATACCAAAGTGGCTCTGTCACAAGTCCCCGTGCTAACTGCCCTTTCCCCTTATTTATGGTAAGAGGGGGCCCCTCACTCCTAGAGTCTTGCTGGTTTTTTGTGGTGACCTTTAAAAGCTTCTTGACATCTTTATTTTTAATGGAAAACAGCAGAACACAAACCAACCAGGTAATCATCACATTGAAATTTTCCACAGACGCTGAGCAGATCAGTAGGAAAGCCTGTGATTGTGTTTGGCCGCTGAATTTAGGTCACTGGTTTTACAGATGGCTCTTGTACGAGGGGAGAGGTTGAGCTGTCACAAACTCTGGAGATGTGTCAACTGACAACACAAGACTGACTTTGATGAAGTCTGAGTAGAACTGGTTCTAGTGCCCAATGCTTCCATCTCTGTGTGGTGTGGCAGGCATCCTCATAGCACACGACATTCGGGAGCTCATGGTATGTGGTCCGTTTGGCTCCGTGCCGTGAAGAGTTGGGAACACACCAGCTCGATTCAGCTAATGTTTTGCAAAAATCACTTTGGAGACATAGAGACATGAGCTGCCTGCTGCAGCCAAATGGGTTGGGCACAGCCAGCCCCTCATGGGCCAGGGCTGGCCTCCCAAACCAGGGTTGTCCCTTACCCGTGAGGAGAGCCCTGCACTTCCACAGGGGGAGCAGGGCTGCGGGGCTGGCTTGTGCAAGGTGAGTTACACACGGGAGCGTGCAGTTACAAAGGAAACGTAGGACTGCAAAAATACAACACTCGGCACACAGTTTATAGTCACAGCTGGAGCTGCCACGGCTTTCTAAGGGCACACTGAGCAGTTCTTACCAATGTTTTCTTTGCCCAGTTATGAATAAGCCATTGGTAGAAGCTCCTGGGGGCTTCCGGTTGATTGTCTTAATGGAACTGGGATTCTAGACCTAATACTGCAGGTAACAGTTCTAACAGCTACACCATGCTAATTTACCCTGGACTCTGGGTAGGCACAATTTCTATATAGTCACAATACAGGAAATTCTGGTTAATATTTGGAAACATGCCTCAAACATGCAGCTTACTTTAGAGGAAAAAAATAGATATTTTTAATTACAAGCATTCAAAAGTCGAGCACAAAACAGTGATCCAACCCAGTGTAAGATCGTCCATCCCAGCACACTTAAAATGTTTGGTATAAAAATACTCACTTTTCTTGGTTTTATTGTTGACTTCTCTTACGTTTCGTTTGAAAATATCTCCAAACTGTACAGAAATGTCAGACCATGCATTCACAAATAACACACTATTTCTTACAATTATACAGTGTAAAAGAGTAAAACATTTTTATTATATTTTTTCTTTGAGAAAAACAGATGTGTGATAGAGGCTGTGGCAAAGTCTTGCAGGGATCAAAACTGGGCAAGGTTTTTTCAAGCCTGAAACAGAAAGAAAACATATGAGGTGAGCAGGTGTCAACCCTCCCTAGTTGTGATGGCTTAGATGGCACGGTGCGGACGTGTGTGTAGAAAAGATTTACTGCCCACACACATGTACGTGTGTCAGTGGTCTCGCCTTGATTAGACACATGGGTCTGGTCCTTTACCCCCACTCACAGAGCCCCATCCTGGCCCACAGGTTTTTTTTAAAAACTCAGCTTCTTCTGTATTATTCTGTCACTCATTTTCCTTTTCTTGCCCTCTCACCAACATGTCACACACATTTGAGAAGTTGTAGAACATGTGTATATAGAAGGCAATCAGCTCATCACACACTAGAATTTGTGTGTAGGGAGATGCTTATTTGTGTGCGGAAAGAGGCTATAAAGAAAAACAGATCGGCTGGGCGCAGTGGCTCACGCCTGTAAGCCCAGCATTTTAGGAGGCCGAGGCAGGGGGATCACGAGGTCAAAAGATCGAGACCATCCTGGCCAACAAGGTGAAACCCCGTCTCTAGTAAAAATACAATAATTAGCTGGGCATGATGGCGTGTGCCTGTAATGCTACTCGGGAGGCTGAGGCAGGAGAATTGCTTGAACCCAGAAGGCAGAGGTTGCGGTGAGCAGAGATCGTGCCATTGCACTCCGGCCTGGGTAACAATAGTGAAACTCCGTCTCAAAAAAAAAAAAAAAAAAAGCATTACTGACAACCTATCTAAATGTCCCAAGTTAGATTTGGGAAAATGCGTTGAGCAGTTGAGAATATTTAGGCGACCACTGAAACAGTGTATGGGATGAGCCTGTAAATGTTCCCAAACAAACCAAATCTGTCCAAGTTGGATCTGACCTGTGACCCAGTATACCTTTTTCACTTCGTTTTTGGACAGGAGTACGAGTGGTCAGCAGTAGTAACGGCCTGCAGGTCTTCAGACCGGCGGCAGAGCTTTCCACAGCAGGGCCCTGGACCCCTCTCCACCACCAACCCCACGCCGCCACCTTTTCTGTGAGAGGGGACTAATCCTTGCCTGTCCTTTCAGGTTGTGGCAAATAATGACATTAGTCCTAGTACATCCATTTAAGGATGTTTACCGTACAGAGCCCTCAAGGCAGCCAAACCTAGACGTGCCCCTGTCCGTCTGTCCCTTACACCGCTGCCCCCGACCCAGCCCTGTCCTCTTGGCTTATCTGTTCCACTCCGCTGTCACCATCTTAGGGCCACCTCTGCAGATATGCGCTTCTACCTCAACTCCTTGTCCACTTTGCTTCAGGCAGAAAGACAACATTCCTAAATCAATCACTCTCTACCTCTGCATCTTCCCAGTGGCTTCCCAGATGCCAAATGCCTAACACATTTCAGGGCCCTGAAAAGCTTGGCTGCTCCCGATCTCTCTTGGCCTGAGGGCTTCCTCTGAGCTCCTAGCAGGGGTTCTCACTGACCAGGCCACTGTGACTTCCACAGGCATAATCCTGCATTGTTATTTGCCTCTCTGAGACCATCTCTTCCTCCTTAAACCCCGACACCAGTCACTTGCAGGGGCCCAATGCAAACCTTCCATTCACACACTTAAGAGTGGAGGGCACACGAAACAGAAGTGATGGGTCATTTGTGGCACGTTGTCACTGAGACATGGGCCCCAGTGTGGATGATGTCTGGCCTGAGAGCAGGAGACTAGGGACGGGGACCCACTTTGGGTTCTGCACACCAGTCCAGGGGCACCCTGAGCCCTCCATGGGCAGCCGCGGCCCCAGTGAGAGGGATGTGGCACCTCCAGCTTTCCTGGGCAGTAACGCATGCGACTTCCCCACGCCTCAGCCCCTGAGCAGGAGGAATGGCCGCCTAGGAGGGCTGATCTGAAGGGAGAAGGAACATGGGCGGGAGGAAGTCTAGTTTTCTGGGCCTTCCATAACTGCTGTGTAAATGGAATCCTTGCATGGGAAAGGAATGTAATCACTACCACAGATGATCCCAGACTGAACAGAAGGTCAAAACATGGCTATTTCAGTCCCTGTAAACAAGGAAGAGGTTTAGCTAGGAGCGGAGTTCAAACCTTGGAATGTCTTAACAAGGACATTTTAAACACAATCCAAAGACATCCGGGAACACAGCCCCGCGGAGGGATGGTGGGGTTGGGGCTGGGAACACATGAGGCTCTGATTAGGAGCAGGTTCTCCTTTTGGGACCTTCCTGGAAGCAGCCGACTATGTCATTCATCTTCAAAAAATCAGGTACTGATATTAATTTGTAACAGCCATTTTCAGACATATCACTGAAAAAGTTCATGGTCTCTAGCGGCACAGTCTTCCACAGTTTGTAACTCCACTCCAGCCCCAGGGGCTGATGAAAAGTGGCCCATCTCTGTCCTCCAAGGGTAGGTCACATAAGCAGTGTCTGACCTCAGATTGGGGAAGAGAAAAGCCGCCTCCAAACTCGCCCCTGAAACCTAGGGACAGCCCCAAGAAATGGTGAGCCCTACCTCAGCACAGCTGGTGTTGAGAACACCATGTCTCCCCTACGCGCTGGCTGCTGCTTTCTCAGGCCCATCTGGGACATCTGCAACCTGACCCTCCTCAGGTGACCCCAGGACAACAACCGAGACCTGCCCTCCTCCTTTCTGTCCCCCGTTACTAGGCCCTTCTGTTACCTGCCAGGAAATCGCCCCTCTCCGTGCACTGTTGACACTTTGGTTGACTTGCTGCATTTAAAAATCATGATGTCTAACTAGCATTCAAAAACTGCATAAGTGGGGAAAAAAAGTCTAAGCAGCTTAATTGGTTTTGAAATATCCCCAGGAGGAAGAACAAAATCATGTCTTTTAAAAAAGTTTGAGTGATGACTATGAAGAGCTATGACAGAAGGAAAAGCTCACACAGTAGGTTGTGGGCCTGGTGGGATAGACCCGGCTGCCCCAAGAAACAGGCACTGAGGGAAAATGCCCAAAGTGCAGGGTCCTGTGGGAAGGCTGCTACACATGACACACACCTAATGCACGCTCGTGGGATGGCACTGAGGACCGTCAGAGCATAGAGTGACTTAAGCCCCTCAAATGCCATCCCATCTCCTTGGCCAGAACTGCTTGGTTCCCTGTCCGTAGCAGGAATCTTGTTCCTCTCGGACTCAATTTTTTTCTATAGGCCTCTCAGAGGGATGCGGTCTGCTGCTTTATTTAGGCTGAGACAAACTGCCGTCAGCTCACCCCTGGTGTTCCTGCTGTTCTAAGCCAGGCTTTCCAGAGACCCAGTGGCAGGAAGGTCACCTCTGGGGATGCTACATGAGGATTTTTTTTTTAAAACTTCACTTCCTGCTAGATGCTAAACAAATTGAGGAGTGACAGGTGATACTGATTGAAAAGACAGATCACTACAACCACTACCTACTAAATGGCCCACAGTCTGGAGAAATGCACTGAGAATCCTATGATTCAGTCATGCCCAAGGGTAATTATCCTAGGTCCCCAGGTCATCAAGAAATGGCTGATTATACTCAGTATAACTGGATTAATAAGATGGGGAATATATACATCCCAACAAAATCATTAATTCCGTCCCCTGCCCCCTAAAAAAGGCTAAGATGCTTCAAGGGAAGAGCTTCATTTCTGTAACATTTCCTTAGGTGGAGTCCCTCCCTCCAGGTGCTGCTGGAGCCAGAAGTTCATGGTGCCAGCCTTACCTAAGGAGGACATGTGAGCACCAAATACTAGGGTGATACATTTTAGAAACCTATCAGTTGCTGTCCTGGGATGACCTTCCCTAGGCAGGCCGTGCTAGAGCAGATGTTCAAGAACTCCGGAGGGAGGGAGGGCACCAGCATCTGGAATCTGGCCCCACCCCCAGAGGCCTGCAGTTCCCACGTGACCACACTAGCCAACAACACAGTGCCCTGCCCAGGCCATGCTGCCCGGGTGCTTATTCAACCCTGACTGACTTACCAGTACGCTCCAGTTTTGCAGAACAGCTAGAGAACAGTAGCCACCACTGAAGATTGCATTAATACCCACAAGACAGATTGCAGCCGCCATCACACACCTGGGACCTGGGATGCAGAGAGAGATCACCCATTAATAGTGCACAGTGACCCCCTGTGGGGCTGCCTGGGTCTTGAAGACTGGCCTGTTCTAAGGCAGAGAGCCGAAACAGGCAATGACGGGAGAGACCAAAGGCTTCTGCTGTTGAGTGGAGGATGAGATGCCACTGCAGAATGGCCTTACATATGCCACATGAAAAGCTCTCAGCCAGGAAAACGCACTGAGGACTTGGTGGAGCATGTCAGGGGAGGCTCCTGGGGACTAGGGAGAATGAGCATTTGAATAAAAGCATATGAACTCTTCATGAGGGCGCTAGGAGGCTGTGGGCCCAGCAAGGACAACCCTGTACCACATCCCAAAGGCTGTGGCCTAGACCCCGAGGACCATCCAAAAGCCCCACAGTGCAAAGGCATGGGACCTGAGGCCCCACCCAGAGCAAGATCCAGAAACAAGTGCCTCCAGGAGTTGCTTCGAAGTAGCAGCTTTGGTCAGCCCAAGGCCATAGGAAAACCCTGTCTGTCACAGGCACTAAGGACTAAACTTTCCTCCAGGCACCTCCTGGAAAACAAAAACCAAAGGATGCCCACTTGTGAATGTATCTGGCTAGTAGTCCCTAGGGTCTGAGAATTTTGAAATATGAAGGTATAAAGACCCAGCAAAGAATTTGTTCCTAATATTCCTCCCGCAGGCATGGCTGCCCCCGACACAGCTGGTTACAGCAAAGATTCCACTGCCAGGGAAGAAAGCCCAATTCCGTGCATGTGGACACCAGCGGTCCTACTTCCTACTAGCGTTTCTCAGATCTCCCTTCCTGCAAACAGGCCATGTCCAGCATGCAAGGTTTTGAGAACTAGAGTGCATAACGTACTGCTGTGGACTGTCCAAGTTCCCCAGAAGGATGGCACTGGCTCAGCTGGCACCTTTGAGTGGCCCCACCAGGACTCCACAGGGAGCAGGACTGCTGTGCTGAAATCCAACT